GAACAATTTATTCTTTTTTCTAATCAGTGATTATTTCTCTTTATTAACCATCATGGTAGTTTCTGTTTTGTGTTATTTATTATTTCCGTTGGAGTTGACTCTTCCATGGTTTCCAATACCTTTGTTTTAAAATTGTCCCTAAGTTCATCCATTGTAAGCTTTTCTATGTTTGAAATATTGTAAAGGTTTATGTTATTTAGCTTTTCTTTAATTTATTCAGTATTTGTTTTGTTGTATAGGGAAAATTTTCTGGGTGGTTTTTTGCACTTCTAGGTTTTAAGTTGGATTCAATATAAACAATTTTGTGATCGGATACTCCAGGAATAACTTCAGTTTTATTAACTAGGGGGCTGTTATTAGTACAAAAGAGGTCAAGTATGGATGATGTTTCTGTGTAATGTGTTGGTTTTGTTACAACTCAGTCTAAATAGTTGTCTTGGCATATGTCTATTAGTTGCTGACATTGTTTCGAGTTTTATGCCTTTTGTTTTATAAAGTAATTATTACAATCTATTCCACCAAGGTTAAAATCACCACCAAACCAAAGGTGACAATTTTTACTACGCTTTATTCAGGAGATAGATTTTCCGAAGTGTGATAAATAGTCCTCCTCTGTTTTAATTGGAGGTTTGTAAAAACTCCCTATGTACAAATCAGGTGACCCTTTAACAAATGTTTAATTTGAATCTTGACCCACAGTTGTTCACTAGTGTTATCATGCATCAGTGCTAATGCTTATACAACTGCTTACAAAATATGATTGACCTACTACTTGCGGGTTACCATAAACCAGACCTAATCACAAACAAATACAATGTTAACGCCGCGCGCCGCCGCCGGGAACAGCATACCTATGTCTCGCTTTTTGACTCCGTCACGGCGAGACAATTACCAATTTGGTGGCAGCAACCCAACAACGGGCTTATAGATCTTGACCTACCGAACATTTTTACCCCATGTCAGATTTGCTCCATCTTCGCTAGCCAAGGGTTACGATCAACTCCCTTCTCTCCACCTTTTGCTGATTAAGAGTGAATTTTGGATCCAAGAGGTAATGATTTTCATTGGTTGTAGTCGTAAGTGGCTGCATCCAATCAAAAAGCGCCTAAAACATGATCACGAAAAAATTGAAAGATGTATGTAAACAATTGCACTGTGCTGATTGTGCAACCTCCAAGAAGCCTTTACCTCCAAAAACATACGACGATATTAAGTGACAATTTAAATGTTCTTAATCAACTAATAGAAGTTCCTGTGTATGTTTCTTGCACAAATGTTGGAATGTCAACGTATATTTTCGTGTCCTGCTTCACCAAGTTTGTAGTCTCTAGACGCTACCGTGTTTTCACCTCCACACCATAGAGAGTTCAAGTACTACCATTTGTCATGAATAATGTATTCGGAATTGGCGTGGCTTTAATAAACATATAGATGGCGCAACATTGATATTACAAATGTTGGCCTAATCTGCCAAGGGTGGAGAGAAGGGGAGTGGATCGTAACCCTTCGCTAGGGAAGATGGATTTGCTCTAAATGCTTTAGTTTTTGAGTTAAAAGCCAAAAACTGCATTTGACCCATATGTTCTATTTTTAACCATGGTGGCCACGTTTATTAATTGATCAAAACTTCGGACACAATTTATAAACTAGAAACCCTAACGAACATTTACTTAAAATTTGAAAGTATTTAGCACAGAAGTTTCAGAGGAGAAGGTTCTTGAAATAGTTTACGACGACGACGGATGACGACGGACGCCAAGTAATGACATAAGCTCATAATTATGGGGCCCTTATGGCTCCGATGATCTGAAAAGTGTTTGTATTAAAACATTACAATAATTTCTGGAGATAATGGCCGTTCTGGCTATGAAAATACACACAGTCAGAAATAGCCCATAAAACATGTAAACAATAATATTGATGTTCTTATACACCCCATTTGAAGGCAAATGTTGCAAATGTTGCAAAACACTTGTCCTACCTCCATGACAAATATGTTGTTGTCCTCACAGATAAAGCCCCAAACAACATCGTTTTTGTGTGAATCACATTACATAAACTGCTTGATAAATGAACTAGGTATTGACAATTCACATGGAAACTCAACATATACCCCCACGACAATTACTAAAGAGGAAATCCTGGATAATAGCTCTGTTCTTATTTCAACCAAAGAGGAAGAACTGGATGTTCCATCACTGTATTTGATACCGAAACTACATAAGTGCTATTACAAACAACGGTATATTGCTGGGTCTTCCAAGTGCTCCACAAAACCTCTTTCTAAATTATTAACATCAACTTCATCAGCAAGCAAAGCCGGGCTTCAAATTTTTGTGAAACTGCCTATTCTATTGGTGGAGTGAATCAGATGTGGATACTAAAAAATTCCAAAGATATTTTAGAGTACACACAATCTAAGGCTCTTTCATCTTGCAATAGTATTGAAACATTTTACTTTTCTACACTTTACACTAGAATTCCCCATTCCAAACTAAAAGACAAATTGAAAGAGTTGGTATTGCTTTGTTTCATAAAACAAATGGCCATCGTAGATACAAGTATCTTGTCTTATGGAAGGTTAAATCCTACTCTGATTCAAACAAAAAAATCTCTGAAACGGACATTATAAAGTTTTTATATGAAGTCAGCTTCATAAGAATAAAGAAACAAGTCGACAAGAAGAGGGGCACAGTTGGTTCCCATTGGAATGCCGATTGTTTGTTGAAAAACACGTCCTCCAAACATAACAAATATGTTGTCAATCAATAAATCAAGTAACTTTATAATGTCCGTTTCAGAGATTTTTTTGTTTGAATCAGAGTAGGATTTAACCCTCCATAAGACAAGATACTTGTATCTACGATGTAGTAAGAAAGAAAAAAAGTTAGCAATATCCTTTAACTTTACTTTCCGCTATAAAGATGATGTTCTCTCACTAAATAATTTAAAATTTGTTGACTACGTTGAACTCATCTATCCCATCGAACTAGAGATAAAGGATACAACAGATACAGTTAAGTCTTCCCCAAATCTTGACTTACATCTAGAAATTGACAATGAGGGTCGGTTGAAAACAAAACTTTACGACAAAAGAGATGATTTCAGCTTCCCAATTGTGAACTTTACATTTCTATGTAGCAACATTCCAGCAGCCCCTGCATATCATATAAAGTTATAAAGGGGCATAACTGAAGAAAGGTAAAAGTGACGCTATCCAAATTTGTACTTGATCCGAGTTTTGTGGTAATAAGTATCACTTAAAAGTTTCATAAAATTTGGTTTTAGCAAACTTAATTTATGAAATTTATCCTTTTGTAAATGGGCATAACTCTAGAACAATAAATGTGACACCCCCAAAACTCAAGCTGATCTGTATTGTGTAGTAATAAGCATTGTGTATAAGTTTCATACATTTTGGTAGAGGTCAACGTTACAGTACGGAAACAAAAAATCAGCATTTTTTTCCATTTGTAAAGGGGCATAACTCTAGAACGGTTTAAGTGACACCACCAAAATTCAAACTTGATCTGTATTTTGTGGTAATAAGCATTGTACATAAGTTTGATAACATTTGATTCAGTCAAACTAAAGTTTCTATTTGTAGACAACGAAAATCAAAGGACGATAACTCTGTCCCCGGACCTAATAGGATAGAAAGACTTGACTAATTTTAATAAAACTTGGCTTGAACTAAGATTACGGAATTATAAGACAGTTATATAAAACTTGGCTTGAACTAAGATTACGGAATTATAAGACAGTTTATCAAGTTTCATGGCAATATAATATATATCGAAGACCATATGGTCATTCTTATATTAGAAACTAGGGTGTCTATATATAGCTATTATTTACGTTTAAATCTAACAAGTTTAACTATCAAGATTTAGACCTACAAAATTTAAATTTTACAAAAAAATACTTTTTGAACGCCTTAATTTAAAGTGTAGCATGTATGTTAAGCAGCTGAACACTCATTTGATGTGTCAGATTTATTACATTTCTTCAAAAGTCAATATAACTGAGTCTGTTTTTCCAATGAAGGGTGGGCTTTTATAAAATTGTAATTTTGTCTACCAAATTAAAATCTGTGAAGTAATTTTGATATTAATAATTCTTTCATATACATGTACATTTAATGTACTTTAAATGGAAAGAAAAGTTACAAGTAGCATACCACATGTTAGAGGAAAAATAATTTAGGGTCAATTTAGGCTGTAACACATAATTACATATGAAAATGCATAGAAGCTATGGGAAATAGAAATTTGTTTCTTTTTGGTTATTTGTACATGCTAATATAAGGTGACATGATACAAGAAGTCTGAGTGCAATAGGACTCTTGCATTTAACTTTTTTGCAGACAATAAAGTCTGATGCAAAGTGTTTTCACTTTTCAGTGGAAAATGTGCGTGTAATCTTAGTCTAAATATGCATATATTTGAACCACTTACTATCCCACAGAAGAAAAAAGGGTGTCCTATGAAAGGAAACAGGTACAGCAATCATTGTAAATTATAAAGACTTCAACTTTTATGTACATAGCTCCTTACATTTCTTATCCTCCAAACAGGCCATTAGACCAGGACCAGGAATACAAAACATTTTGCACATTTTTTCTGTGATAATCTACTGTTCTCATGTTTTTCTCGATTCAGGATTCCCATGTGATTATAGAAACTTGAAATAAGCCTCGAAACACAAATATCAATACACGAAAACCTGTCAGAGAGAAAGTCAGCTAGCTTCTCAGGCATAGAAATGGAAAGGGCTAAAAAATGCTTATTTCAGCCATAAATGTTAAAATTGAACATTTTTACAGAACGTCTATCAAATATGGATAAAAATCCTTTAATTTCAATTCAGTTTGACAAATTGATACCCTCAAATCATTCAGGGAAGTTGCAAACATACAGAATCTACATATACTGAATTCAACTCTTAGTTAGACAGCTTCAGACATACTAATTTTTGACCTTTTCAAACTGAACAAAATCACTACTTTACCTTTAAAATCATGCCCCCCATTTTTTTACATCTTATTTTGTCCCCTTACTTACTATTTTATGCATAAAATATAAAGAAATAAATTTGAAAGCTGTATGAAAAAAAATTGCAAGAAATACACTGTCCACAGTCTAAGGACTCTATTTGAAAATCAAAGAACGATAACTGTGTCCCCGGACCTACCAATCAATTTCTTCTTCATATTGTTCAATCTCTTCTTCAAATTGTTCAATCTCTTCTTCAAATTGTGGAATCTCTTCTTCATATTGTTCATTATGAATATGGTTTTTTCTGTGCTTTGAGATAAAAATATCAGTTTGTTTGCCGTTGAAATGTTCATATACTCCAACCTTCTCCTTGTCGGTAAGTATTTCCTGAGATGAAACTTCATTCGTGAAGTATTTTGGTGTCATACACGGGAAACGTATGAGGTATAACAAATCACCGAGAGACTTCCTAACGTTCTCATCAGTCGTCGGTATAGATTGCTCCTCGCATTGCAGTTTCGCCCATTGTACCATTCTTTGGTAAACTGTTGTTTCATCGCAAAACAGTTGGTCAGAAGCTAAGATCAATTTAAGGCAGTCACCAGATAAATGTAAGAAATCGTCGGACTCTAAACTAGCACTTCCGTTCTTTAAAATAAAATTCAGTGCTTCTTCTTCCAGATCTTTCATGTGGAAGTCATGTGCTGTTTGCAATACGACACATGCGTGATCGCCATCTACACTTGAAGATAAGAATTCATTACATTTATCTTTCAGAGTTTGTAACATATACTTTTCTGATCCATACAGAAGCCCTTTGATGTTTTTAGCGTCTATTACTATTTTTTCGGTGTATATATACCTGTTGGAAAAATATATTGTTGCATCATTCTTTGCATGTTACATGTAATACAAGGCATATAGTCTAATATACTTTCATATTTTTCAAAATACCCTCAACACTGAAATTTGTAATTGAGGTATAATTAAAAACGAATTGTTCAGAGAACAATTGAAGGTCTTTCCATCCGAAACTATATATATTGATACAAAAATATTAATATTCAATTAAAATGCCATTTCCAGTGTCAAATGGAACAATTGAAGGGGTTTCCATCCGAAACTATATATATTGATACAAAAATATCAAAATCCAATTAAAATGCCATTTCCAGTGTCAAATGATAATTTATTGTATGCCGATTTCAAAAATATATGGTTTCTATACACTTTTGTTTGAAATAAGGGATATAATTTGTCACTTCCGGTTGAAAAATGTCACTTCCGGTATACTTTGATAGTTAACTTGACACTGATTCCAAACAAAAATGGTTCTATATACTTTTACTTTAAATAAGTCCAAAAAATAGCTAGATTTTTCAAGGTCATATGGCTTGCAACCTAATGCAAAAAGTCCTATGGCTTTAGCACGTATAAATATAAAGTAAAGATAAAGGTCAAAATCTAGAACGTCAAATTCAACTTTGACCTTGACCTCAATTTCAATGTCATAAACCAAGGACTGCAAATCAAAATACCTTACGTCTTTATTAGATATGGTTAACGAGTTATATCACCATACACATAATTTTACATATAAAAGGGGAGAAAACTGCCTTTATATGTCAACGTACACTTTCAACTAAAATTAATGTGTTACGACATGTCGCAACTATCAATTTAGTAAAGATATGTTGTCGTTATCTTATACGGTTTTTGAAAAGAAGTGCAAATAAGCCAAAATCAAAATTTAGAATGTGACCTTGACCTTTAACCATGACCTAATTTTATTTTTTTTGGACTAAGGACCTCAAATAAATAGACTCTAGGTCTCTATCACTTATGGTTTTTTACCAGTTACAAATGCATATCACTTATATATAATGCATAAGGGGAAATAACTATCATATGGAGTCTCAGGAACGCTTCGATCAAAACAAATCTCAACATCCTGAGGATATAATGAGCAAATTGGTGAAATAATTTTGTCGTTATCTTTAACGGTTGCGAAGGAGAAGCTAACACTATAAAAACAGTGTTCGGAGAGATAACTCTTACAAAAAAAAGTATTCAGTTAAGCGGTGTTAGTTTTTAAAGCGCATACACTGTTCGATATCATATACCAAATATCAAATCGACATCTTGCGAAACAACCAATCTTGGACCCCGTATCAAACACACGAGACGGAAACATTCATGCAATGATTGATTGAATGATTGGTATGTTGGTTGATTGATTGATTGATTGATTAAACACTTGGGACCGAGCCACTAGGAACATGCAAAAACGGAATTGAAAGCCTAGATTTCATATCTAAACATTGGATCTAGCCTCTAGGAATACGCGAAAAAGGAATTGATAGCCTAGTTTCAGTGTTTAAACACTTGGAACCTAGCCTTTAGGAACACGCGAAAAAGGAATTGAGAGCCTAGTTCCCGTATTTAAACACTTGGGACTTAGCCTTTAGGAACACACGAAAAAGGTATTGATTGCCTAGTTCCCGTGTTTAAACACTTGAGACTTAGCCTCTATAGGAACACGCGAAAAAGGAATTGATAGCCTAGTTCCAGTGTTTAAACACTTGGAACCTAGCCTCTAGGAACACTGACACGAAAAAGAAATTGAGAGCCTAGTTCCCGTGTTTAAGCACTTGGGACTTAGCCTTTGGGAACACACGAAAAAGGAATTGATTGCCTAGTTCCTGTGTTTAAATACTTGGGACCTAGCCTCTAGGAATTCGCGAAAAAACGAATTGAGAGCCTAGTTACCGTGTTTAAACACTTGGGACCTAGCCTCTATAGGAACACGCGAAAAAGAAATTGTTAGCCTAGTTTCAGTGTTTAACCACTTGGAACATAGCCTCTAGGAACACGCGAAAAAGGAATTGATAGCCTAGTTCCCGTGTTTAAACACTTTGAACCAAGCCTCTAGGAACACGCGAAAAAGGAATTGAGAGCCTAGTTACCGTGTTTAACTCTTGGGATCTAGCCTCTAGGAACAGGCGAAAACTGGTGCAACAGGTTTATTTATATAGAAATTATGATGTTTGTAGGAACATGCAAGGATTTGAACACTCCTACAAAAATATCCTTGCATCTTCCTTTATAAATGTTTCTTTTTTTTCATAAGGCTTCCCGGAATGTGTGTCTTATTTACTTATTGTGTGTGCATTGTATTCAATTTTGACATGTATTTAAAGGAAATTGGACCTGACCTGCATGCATGGATCTTTTTTTTTAATCTACGTACATATTTTTAAAAATTCTTTTTGAAAAGGGGAAAACCCCTATTTTATATTAGGTAGCACGCGGTGCAGATGGTGTGATTGTGACGTCACCAAGCTGATATACACAAAAAAGACTGTTTTAAAAATCTATTTGCAAAGGAGGATGTCATCCAGACCACACCTGTGTATACAGATTGTGCTAACGGATTTATTTTTTTCATTTACAGGTCATTGATGTCGGATCATGCATGCTTTTTATCGTACACATATTAACGGGAACACAGAGTTGTTTTTTTAATGCATGTTTAGGAATTTGATTGTAGGATTTTACTAATATTTACGAACTTTGGAGCGATTTCTACGTCATTGATTTTAATTTCTCAATCCAGATTGGAACGTCAAGCGGACTGCACGTCATTTATACTGCTAACGGAAAATATATTTTCTCGATTCATTTTACAGGTAAACTATTATGCAATCGCTGACCACTGGTCTTCATTCATTGCATGCACACAAAAATAATGCTGGTGTTATATGTTATAGTACTTCAACAAAACGTTTATCGATTAATTTCCAGAAATACATGAAATGGAGCACAATTTTGCAGGAATGGATTTGTTTCAGAAAGAAGTGTATTCATAAAAAAGAAGGATTAGCATTTTTATAGTAAAATAGAAATGGGATTCTAAAAAAAGGAGGGGTAGAGGGGTGGTTGTGGGCCTTGGATGATTAATAAAGATAAATTGCATGTACGCATCATGATAGCTGTAAAGTTTGAAGCTATAATTAGTTAATTTGTTCATTTTTCCATTTCAGTGGCATGGAACCCCCAAAAATGACGCGTACCATTTCGACAAAAACTCTCCAGTTAAATCATGTCGCAACTAACATTTTGATCACCTTTTTTTATGTCGATAACTTTTTTCTGAGTAAAAGCAGCTTGAAGTGAATGTCAAAATTTAAAACATAACATTGACCTATGACCTTGACTTCATTTTCTAAGTTTGGACCCAAGGACCTCAAATAAAACAACTCTAGGTTTATACGGCTTACGGTTTATGAGTTCATATGCATATCACCTATATCAAATGCATAAGATGAAATAACTCTCCTATGGAGTCTCCGGATGGCTTCGGTCAAAATGTAGTCAGATCCTGAGGATATAACGAGCAAATTAGTGAAATAATTTTGTCGTAATCGTTTACGGTTGCGAAGGAGTAGTGGACAAAAGAAAAACAGTGTTTGGGGAGATAACTCTTACAACGTAAAGTGTTTGGTTAAACGGTGTCAGTTTCAAAAGCGCAATAACTGTTCGATATCATATTCTAAAAATATAAGCGACATCTTGCGAAACCACTATACAGCGCAAGAACAAAATGTGGCGGAAGAAAAAAAAATACTCAGAACAAAAGCAATAAGTCTAGATCTTTCCACGGAAAAGTGGAAAGACCTAATAATATAGTAATATGTTTGAAGAGTTGCCCAGTCAACAGGAATGATCGATATGGCTAAAATAATGGCTCCCTATTTCTAACATGATATAAAAATTGGGATAAAATGGTCATTTTTACAATGTATCGGGCCTTTAACAGTGACCAGATCAGAAATAGGAATTTTTGTTTGAAAATTTATGTATCATCGTTATTCTCTTAAGATCATAATGAGCATACATGTACAACTTAATTTACCTACCAGTTCAATGAAAACATGCAAATGTATACAGGTTTCTGGGTTCGAAAACATATAGCAAATGCGTCCACAATAATGTTTTACATTATGTTTATTATGATAAATGAGTTATTTCATCATTATATTTTAGGCTGTCGAACCATGCCCACAAGTTTTATGTACCTACTGATTGTTTTTATCAAGAAGACTATATCAAACAGAAAAATATTAAATTTAAAACGCCAGTAGTGAACATGAATTATGACCTCCAAATACTGCCGAACCCGTTATAAACATAAACATAAATATAAATACATTGCGACCTCGTGCAATTGGTTTTCCATAGGTCTGTTTGATTTCATGTTATAGATTTAAAAAACGTTAATTAACGTTTTTATCTGCATAAGAATAATTTTTTTGTGAATCGAATCAGTCGACGAAATGGTTCACCTTTGTTTCACTTTTAATATTGGCATTTTTTTCCTTTCAATGGCTGAACATGACTTATGCATGCATAACCAATCTCTATTTTACTGAAATTGAAGATGAACTTCTTCATTTACAAGGTAACAGTTGTAATATTGCACTATTAGGAGATTTTAATGCAAACAAAAAAGAACATTAGATGACTTTGTTGTACACGTTGACTCTCTTTTTGAATCTTTGGATAATTTTGATGATAATGAATTGCTAGTTAGTATATCTGTATGATTATCAGAAACTACTGTTACATAATATATCTCTATCAAGATTTTCGGAAGATACGTCTTCGGTTAATAATTATGGATATAAATTGTTAGATTTTTGTAAAAAAACTAAATATCTATATCGGAAATAGCAGATTGAATGGAAATGATAAATCTGTTGGTAAGGAGACATGTAAAGATGTATCACTTGTAGATTATTTCTTATTATCCTCAAATGTTTTTCCAAATGTAAAATCTTTTGATGTGTTAGATTACAATCC